GAAAGGTCTAAAAAGGTCTATTAGAAAAGGCTTGAACTTAGTCTTAATACGTGTCATAGTTAATAGAAGGAATGGTTACGAAGACCAGTAAACATCAAAGAAGCAAACAAACAGACTAAGATCTATTTTGGAAGGTCCTTGACCCAGCATATCTTTTGTTTAATGCTTATAAACTATGTATAATCGTAATGCTTCTATTGGTTAGTTGTATGAGTACACATAACCGCCTTCTGTATTTTGTTAGGTTTTGTGCAGGGTCAACTCCCAAAATAGCCAACAAAAACCTACAACAAAGAATTTTGCCAGGTTTCCTAACCATTTCCCTCTATTAACTTTGTCAAGACACTGATGATTACTGAATCGTAATATGTTCTATAGGTTCGGTCCTGCTGTGTTTAAATATGGTAAGGTAAGGTAAAGCATTTATTTCTACACGATAAAAATATAACAGCAACGCTGATGTACTCGTGTCTAAAAACTAAAAAAAACTACCTAAAAGAACTATCTAAAAGGTATTTATCTCAAAGACTATGTAAAAGGTATTTACGGAGAACGGAACTCTGAACTGCATGCCTGTGTTAGGTTTACTTCCACTTTAGTTTATTCTGCTACAATCGCAGCCGGAGCCGTTATTTGGGTTGTCAGGGAGTGCGTCCCCCCCACCCCCACCCCACCCCAATCTCCAAAACTGAATATGCAAAACCTGGCCAATAAGCACTTTGAAAAGAAGTATGAGGTCAGATGTACATGTGAGTTGATCATAATCTTTTGTTATATTTATTTTTCAGGTTTGGAACTTGTGTATAGCGGAGGGTTTACACACAAGACGATCGTCACGTGTTGTCCCCAGCGATATCATAACGGAAAATGTTAGTGACGTGTTGTGAGAAACGCTGGTCCAGATCTCTGGTCCAGGAATGTATATATAATGGTCAAAGAGCTCAGTTGTAAACATCATGCAACTTGCCCCTGGAGAGCCGAGAACCTCTGACTGTCTAAACCATGCAGCTTACGTTGAACCGTATCAAAGTTGTTGAAATTGTTCTGTTTAAACTGTCACTCTGTACAAGTATTTATTGCTTCAGAAACGACACATTCTCGAAAGGAATTCACTCTAAACCTAACTAATGATCTAAAGACACATGCTCAAAGACTGATAGCATGGATGGTGCCGAATTTCAGTCCGAAAAGTCACCAAAAATGTTCTTTCTCCTTAATATATTTATACCAAGACAGCCACAGAGTTCTTGAGTATTTAGAACATGATCACAAAAGAGAAGCTGCTACTCTATTGAAAGGGAAACTTTGTGAGATTAAGGACTTCATATAACTCACAAACACATGGGAATATTTTTTCCGTCGATTTTTACGCAGGAAAGGAACTGTTATATTTTGCATTAAGTCAGTTTTAAATTATAGTAAGTTAAGTTAAATGTAAATATTAATATACGTCGTATACACTGTGTATATTTAAAACAATTATTCAATGAGCCTCTGTTGTATACGAGGTGATAAATAACAAAAGTGGCGCGCGTTGCGCAGAGTTCATTAGAGAGCTTAAGAAAATCACGACGGCAACGGCAACGGCAGCGTCGCTAAACAAAAGATTTAATGAGCAGAACAATGGCTGTGCACGTGCGTTGTAATTTTTGGAACATTTCTTTGCCATCCTCCGCAAAACAACGTGAAATGACCAAATTCTGCGTTGTCTGGAGAACGTGAACCACAACGGCTAAGTTTTTAAATGTCTGTTTCAAATTTATCGCTGTGTCCCAGATTCAGTTTCGTGATAGTTTTGACAGTGATAAACAAAGTATACGACTTTTGAATATCGCGAGATTCGTAGGTAAAACATAAATTCATTTTTTAATCGACTTTGTCCTTGGCGTCGCCGTCGGAGCTTCTTAAACTCCCTATTATAAACACCTCATATCCAACAAGGGCGAATGGAATCATTGCTTTATTAAATTCTTCAATCAACTGGATGATGTGGACATTTTAGTGGTGCAATATAAAATTGCGTGGCTATTTTGTTCTGGTGCTTTGTTCTATGCTCTGATTACAGTGCTTGTATTCGAGCTTAATTTTTTTTTTTTTTCAGACAAACTATCCCTAGAGCATGACAACTTAATTTATACTAGTTCGTAGACGTTTTCGGGCTTTCAAACAAAAAGCGGACATTGCTATCCTCCAGTGATCATATACCGTTTTTTTTTTTCTGTGTATATGTTTTTTATCACGATCCAAGAAGAATTCTGCACATAGTAGGTAGCAAATATTTACTCCATGCTAAACACAAAGACAATCGGTAGGAAAAGTAAAACGACAGTGAAAACTCTTGCTGACCTACTGGGATTTAACGTCCTGTCACGACAAACTTAGTATAACCTTAGTGAAACAAGGTTAATTAGAACATGAACTTAAAACAATAATTCGCACCTTAGTAGTTTACATATCTAAATCCCTTACTCGTAATAAAGTTCTTGAACAGAAAGCACTTGTAGAATATATTTCAAGTAAATCTTAGAGTAACGGCTTCGTAAATTTGGAGTCACGGCTTCTAACCAGGCCGATATACGGCTTAGACAGAAACGTGATCATAGAGGGAGATTCATGAACTAAAAGAAAATTAATTACACGTTAGCCATTTCTGTCAACATGGTAAAAGAATCCCCCTATTGGTCCTATTGTGTTCTTTTCTGTTTGTAAATTAAAGCAAACACAAAACAGAACAGCTTGATAATGAGAATCAACTTAAGCTTGGCTGCTTTTGTCTCTGATAAATTTCCTGCCTTAATTTAACGACCACAGCTGGACAGCTAAGTAAACGGATCATATTTTCTCGGGCAATCGGTTTGTTTTTTCAAAATCAACGAATTGCTCGCTTTTTAGACTTTTGTGTAATCTTACATCGTTTGGTTTGAGCTCGCCTGCCGCAAGTGAATTGATAGAGGCTTTTCGTTCATAATTCATCGATCAACCATGTGACATGAAATATCAAGTCAGGTCAGTTGATTTATTTTTATTTTCAGCAACAGACTCAGTATTTTAGCACCTTAAACAATGGAAGAACTAATCAAATCAACCACACAAGTATTACATGTAATGTTTAACATTGTGAGATGCAATCCTAAAATCTGGTATAAATGTACGTAACTGGTTTCTATGAAGGGTGTAAACTAGAAGAAACGAGGTGAAACCTCCGTTTGTACATGTGAGTTACAAAAATTAAATCTTTAGGAGGTTTTTTCTTCTATGAAGAAACATCATGTGCGTTTTAATCCCCTCGCTTACATGATACTCAATCGTTTGACTTCGAACAGAGCTTAGAATAACCCTTATCATATTGCTCATGTTCTATGATCACCTGAAACGATTTTAAAAAATGCTGGTGTTGTACTTAAGAACGCTAAACATTGCTTTTCCATTCTTTTATCAGGATACACCATGCTACAAAACCAAACACTCGGCTTACTGTCCATATTTGTTTCAATCACCGCTGGTTATGAAGATTGCATCACTGTTTCCTCCATTAAAGACTACTCTCTGATTGGTCACTCTTATAAGACAACATCCGGGAAATCTCTTATGACTTGTATCATCTCGTGTGACCAGGACACAAACTGCTATAGCTTCAATTACAAGTTTCCCGCCAAAACGTGCGAGCTGAACAACGTGACTCGATCTCTACATCCTCTAGAATTTGTCACCTCCTCCGGTGCTATTTATTTTGACCACCCGTCCCGTCCCTCGGGATCATGCTCGGGTGACCGGCCGTGTAAAAACAAGGGGAAGTGCATGAATGTCGCAAGAGCCCCAGGATATAAATGTGAATGTCAGCATGACTACACAGGAGATAAGTGTGAAGGTAAAATCATAAATATTGGAAATAAGCCGATTCACGGTCAACCGGACGTAGTTTCTGAAAGTAACTTTCTTTAACTTTTGTTGTCTTTGATGTTACAAGCAAACAGATTATGTCAAATTTACCAATTATGGCTATGAAATTTTTTTCTTCAACTGTCAAAATCAATACTAGATTTCACTATTAAATATTGGCGAGCTGAGTCATCTCATTATGAAATTGTGTCGAAAAGTAATTTAAAAAAAGCGCTGTCACTTAGCTTTCAAATGGCGTAATAAACATAGAAATCTGTGAAGATGTATTAGATGACGGCGTCTCTCTGATGTGGTGGTTGTTTGGTTGAGAGCGCTCAGAAAAGTCTACTGATAAAAATAAAGTTTATATGATCATATGAACTCTTCATTATCCAGTTGGGACTGCAATAATAACCAACTACCAGTTCAAAACGATAATTTTAGGTTAGGTGTTTTCCCGATCGGAGACAATTCAATTCACCGGAGCTCAACTGAATAAGCGCTGCCACGTTGTTGTTGAAGTAGAGATGGTGTGTGTTTATCCAAGGGCGGTGCTGGTGAGTATTTTCTTTTCATCCCAGACGACCTAATCGGGATAGGCGCTTTCTCGTGTAAATACGATGTGTTTAGAACATACCATTCAAAAATTGGCGTTGGCATCACTGTAATATCGAGCAATTTGACTGTGTAAAACTAATGCGAAGTGTTGCGGGAATGTGTTATCCTGAAAACAAAGTATTGTTTAAACATGAATATTTTCCTCGCTCTTATCTAGATCAATTCTATTCCATAGATATAGAATTCTAACTTGACCATGGAATTTTGCTTTCCTACTAGTTTGCAGTTCTCCTCCCCTAGGAATGCAAGATGGTCGGATCCTAAATCATCAATTAACTGCCTCATCAGATGGAATGTGGATAATAACTCTCCAGTCTTTTAAAGCCAAGGATGCCCGTCTGAGGCACCAGTCACTTTCCTGGGTCAGTGCTATTTTGGATTTTAGTCCATGGTTACAAGTCAGCTTTGCGCCTGAAATCAAAATTATCAGCGGTATTGCTACTCAGGGAAACCCGTCACATGACTGGTGGACTACAAGCTACACCCTGAAATATAGCATGACGGGAAAAATATGGCGGGATTATGAAAAAGAAGGGTTTGAAGTGGTACGCAAGGTGAATACGAGTAAATACTGACAAAATAGCGGCTAGCAAGAGTGATCAGCCTCCAATTTCCCCATAAATTATCAATACGCAGTATCCAGACAGGTGCTGAGAATTAAGAAAGTCGTCAAATTGTCAATATCAATACTCAGTAACATTGAAGAAATGCACAGGATTTTAATAGGGAAGGGTACTGCTGAAACATTAAAAAATAGGGACATAATGGGCATGATTAAAAAATTTCTTGTTTCCAAACTTTACCTAGGCTCGATTCCCATTGCTGCCTTGTGAGCGCAAGCTTCTTTCCTGCACAGTGGCTGGTAATCGAGCCTGAAACTTACCACGTGATGTCTAATGCTGTAAAGTGACTAGTCTTCGCCCGACCAATTTTACATGACACATGCAGTAAATACTCTGCCGCTTTCAAAACCCACTCTGAGCAGGTCCCATTGACTGTGCTTTGGTCTGAAAACCAAAGCGATTAATAAGTAATTAGCTTAAGAAATTATTAGACACTTATTATGAAGACTGATCATCACGTGATCATTTCCTCTCAATTGCAGGTTTTCCTTGGTAACTCAGACGTCAATTCGGTTGTGAAACACGCCATCTCGCCATCTATCAAGGCATCATTCATACGAGTTGTTCCTCTTACTAAATACGGCCGTTCTGCTTTACGAATCGAGCTTTATGGCTGCGATTTTATTAATGAGTGAATAGACTGCAATGGAATACATTGGAGAAGAACAGATTAGAACAGGGCAGTACATAGTAAAGTAGTGTAGAACAGTGTAAAAAGAGCAGACTACGATAGAGTTAAGTGGAGTGGTAAAGAGTACGGTAGAGTAGAGTAGAGTAGAGTATACGTAGAGTAGAGTATACGTACAATAGAGTAGAATAGAGTCGAGTCGAGTCGAGTCGAGTCGAGTCGAGTCGAGTAGAGTAGAGTAGAGTAGAGTAGAGAAATTGAAGTGAAGTAAAGTCAAAGGAGAGTGTAGAAAAGCAAGATAGAATAGGACAGAATAGGGTCGGGCACCAAGTTCAGAACACATTTACAAGTGCTTTGGCTGTTGCAATAGTTGGGCTGTTTATTATTGAGGACCGTTTGTAAATTAAGGGCTCATCTTCGGCAATTCGCAGAATATCCGAAGGCTTTCAGATTGCTATTGTCGAATCACAAATAACACTCTGAAGCCCGTTGTAAAAAAGACGTTAAACGACCGAGTTGTCGGGAAAGGTTAAACGAGGAAACAGGGAGGGAACGTGGAGCCTTAGTGGAAAATCCCTAACTCCATCTACACCTGGGTCAAGGAGTAAAATAGTAATAATAATAATAACAATAACTTCCGCTGTATCAGTATCCTAGAAAACTAATGTATCAGCACTTTAGAAAGCGCTGGTCTTATCAAGATCAACCAATGATAAATAAGAATCTAAGCTTACAAATTACCGTTAAGTCTCCCACAACTGAGCCCATGGCAAACACTTTGGGGACAATACCCGATAAATATAACACAAAATTACCGCCGTGACGCATATTTAGTTCAGTATTTTCTGCGTCACATCCTTTGATCTTTGGCTCGCCGATCTCATCCTCATGACTAAGAGGCAGGTGTTTTATTTATGAACAGTTGTAGTTGGTAGCGTGATTGGAAGATAGTTAATAAACTATGTTTACATATACAATGTAACCAAGGCTCTTTGTGTAACAGCAGCCCTCAGTGAGTTTACTGAAAAGTACTAGAATTGGAGAGACTCCATGTTCAAAAATATCCTAACAACGGCACGGCGAATATTAAGTTATTAAAAAAAATTAGGATAATTTTGGTCCAGAGCTCATTAAATTATTCAATCGGCCCCATCAGATAAAAGATTTGAGAACTGTTCTTACGAATCTGTGCTGCGCACCATATTTCATTGCTCTGAAAAGTGCTCAGTTTAATATTTTGCAACATAAATTCACCATGCATAATGTAATTTTCAGTATTGTTATAAATAAAATGACAGCGCCAGTATCGTAAATTCCCTTATCTTTTTCATCTTTATTTAATATCCTTTCTAGCCGCAAAAGATGTATTACATAGATTGCCTCGGGACAATTCAGAGGGTTGTATGAAATACAAGGCTTTGCCAGTGAAGAAAGGGCTTGTTTTTCAAAATGAAGGGGATAAAATATCAATCAGGAATCAGAAAGCGCGGGAAAAGAAGACTAAACCGGAAATTAAATCAAGATGTTACCGGAAGCGGTTATCCAATCAAAATTTACATTTTGGGGTCATGTGACAAGGATGGCTTCGACATGGCGGCTGGTGTGAACTTGTGTGATGTACGGATTGAAGAAACACTCAAAATAAGGATAGGTAAGCCCACAACAGCATCGAATCCATTCACGAATTGCTTCACGTTAACCGTGTGATTTTCTAGGGGAAGCGAAAAACCTGCAACCAAGAAAAGAACCGAGATATTTACGAAACTGCTATTGTGTTGTGACACTCGATCAAGAACAAGTATTTAGGACCTCGACAGTGGAGAAAAGTTTGTGGTGAGTTCCTGTAATAAATTTTGTATTTCCTAAGCGGCCTTATATTTTAATAATTTCACAGACTCATGGCATATCAAAAGATATCATATTTTAATTCTGAGGCTTATTTGATAGAACTTGCAACACTGGTTAAGTTATGTTTCGTCTTGTCGGGCTGAGGTTGTAGTTTTTTACTAGTCCAACGTAACGTCAGCACGCGGTTGTGTGTGTTTTACCCCTGTTTGACCTTAAAATTTTCATTTACTTTGTTGTCGTAATATTTGAGCCTTGGAGCCCATGTTTTAGATTTTTATCTTGTACTGAAAAAAACGGTTAAGTGGTTTTACGTGGTTTGCATACGAAATTGCACAGAAATCTCGTTTACGCGGCAGACAGATATTTGATTAAGGTTACATTAGCAGCTACTTTCAAAGCGTGTGATACATGGCACACGAGGCGGAGTCTAAGAGAAAACAGATCTGCTAAGATTTGATTGATGCAAAATGCAGTTACGATGCTGCTTCTACCGTGCTTAATTTTCCGGCGTCTATTTAAATCAGGAACTTGAAAACTTAATTGTTCCTGTTAGCTTAACTCACGCAAGAGAATGTTTTGTTAGTGTATTTAAATCGATCGTAAATACTTACTCTTCGCTAACGTAATTTATCTTACTCTTGAAATCTGAGTGAAGTATTGTTTTTTTTTCTAAATTGTGGTGGAAGTGTTCTTTAAATTCTAAGGTTTGAGGGCATGTTAATTTTGATATTTCAAACTAATTGGTTTAAGCATTTTCAATTATTTAATTAATCATGCAAACTCAGTTTTCAAGATAACTACGTTCCTGCTACTTCTACATATTTTGAGTTTTTTAACTGAGTTAAATTCTTATATTTCCAAGAGTCTAGAAGAAGCTTTATTGATTTTTCAATATGTTCAATTTCTCAAACTAATGTGTGGTAATATATAAAAGAAACATGTCTCAATTTTTTTCTGAACTAATATGAATAATTTACCCTTCACGTTCTTGAAAGAAACCATCATTGATTATTATGTTAATTAATACAGATCTTTACCTGTCAAATTTTGTGAAACTTGACAAATTGTAAATGCTATCTCCTCTGAGGACCTGTGAGTGATGGGAAGGTAGTGTGACTCTTGTTAGAATTTCAAAAAAAAAAAAAAAAAAAATTGGNGATCTGAACACTTTGATCAACTGGTGGAATTTATGTCCAGGTATTGTAAAATTAAATCTCTTCTTTGGGACTTAACTACACCTGTCACAGAAATATTTTTGCTTTCCAGCTGTGAAATTGAGCATACAAAAATGACTGTTTTTGAAGAACGAATATGTTGCTAGAAAGATCTGGAACATCACTTTGCTAGCCTAGTACAATGCAAAAAAAAAAAAAAAAAAAATTGGCAATTTTTTTCAATTCCCTTGTAATATCAATCACATCATAACTGTCCTTGTATTTTCAGTTTGTTATTACTTCTTTGGAGTTTTTCTGCTTTAGAAAATAATTTGTAAGTTTAAGGTTTCCTTCAATTTGAAAGTAATTCTGTTCAGTGTCATGTGTGACATACAGTGAAAATATATCCTGATTTTTGAACCATCTCAGAAAATTGGAAGGTTCAAAAATCAAGGATACTGGTTTCTCATAACCTTTTTGCCGAGGATCAAAAAATTGATTCAAATAATCAAAAGGTAAGAAAGAATTGAGGTTGCAAAAAATTGGAATTATACTGTTAGTAGCTCTTTAATTAAGAAAGCAAAGAGTGATAAAAAGATTCTTTAATACATGTAGATGAACTGCTTGTTGGTTGTGTGTTTTTTTTTTCTGTTGACAGCCCATTCTTCGGTGAAGATGTACATTTTGAAGTTCCCAGAGACTTTAGGACATTGTGTTTCTATCTGTTTGACACTGACCTTATAGGAAAGGATACAGTGTTAGGAAAGGTAAGTGTATTTATTTATCTTATTTTCTTTTCCCAAATGGTATTCATTTGTCCTTTCTCAATTAAAGCTGTTTGTGTGCTTATTTAAGTTGTATTATTCTGTGCTTTGTTTGCCTAAGTAACTGCATTTTTGTCCAATCTGGCACAAACCAATGGTACATGTACTAGCTCATAGCCTGGGGGGATAAAACAGACCTTGCTACATGTTTTTCAGGCTGATATTGGTACAGTAGACTAATAATAAGACAAGTGAATTATGTTGTCTACGTTCTCATCTGAACATAAACTATAATGTGTTGAACAAGCAAATGGAGTCCCTTTTGTTACATTTCTTGAGTTGTTGTCAGTTGTTAAAATTTTTAATTGCATTCTGATGTTTAAGCTAATTATTTCATATCAATTAAGTAAGACACACACTTCGTCTGAAATATTGTTGTTTAATAAGAAAATCAGGCCCTGTGTGGGAGGGAGAAGGTGCAAAATTATAATGTCACTGGTCTTATTGATATGAGATCAAAACAATACAGTTGTGGGAAAATCATTTTGAGAATTTGCAATGCTAGAATGCTACATGTTATTTTCCAGATTGTTGTGTAAATTAAATTAATTTGTTTTGCTCTTTTAGGTTGCAATAAAGAAAGGCAGTGTCCATAATTACCCATCAGACTCGTGGTTTCCTCTGGTTCAGGTTGAACCTGATACTGAAGTTCAAGGAAGAATACATTTAGAAATCAAACATTATGAATTTATACCTGATACAGATGATGATGAATACTCTAGTACACCCAAAATCAGTATAAGGTATGTTTTAAATGTATTTGAAATTACGTGTAGCATTATTTTAAAGCAGTGTGCAAAGAAAGTCCTAGCCCAGGGCTAGTGGACTGTCTAGTCAGATTGTGACTTCTGTCTGTCAATTGCCCTCTGGGCAAGTGATGTTTCTTGGTACTGCATTTATGGGGAAGTGTTTTGGGAGCTACAGAGAATGATTTTCAGGCTAGTACATCATATTTAGATCTTGCCTAAATGGCAAGCTCCCGAAGATTTGTTTTTGTTGCAGCCCGTAAATTGCATGGATAATGCATGCAAACTTTATGGTTTGCTTGTCTGATTTAAACGGCTTCATAGGACTGAAACATTGTAAATTGTAGAGCTTTGGAAATTTGATAAGACAGTTTATTCATTTTTATTAAAAACACACCTCTCCTTAATGATATCTTGGATGGAAAAACCCCTCCAGTAGAACGTGTAACACCCCCTTCCCACTTACTAAAAAAAGAGAAGAAGTAGAAAATGAAAAAGAGACCACAAAATAATTAAAAGTGTGATTCCAAATTGTTGGTGAATGTGCTTTGTGTGAATATGTTTTGTTTGTTTTCTTTTAGGATTTTAGAATGCGCTGATTTGTATGGATGCAATGGAAATGGAACATTTTCTGATCCTTATGTCAGTATCACTGTACATGGGCCGCTCTCAAGGTACTTAGGCCAATGATAGCAACTCTCCAACACGTCTGATCATACGTGATTACTGTAGTCCTTTCAATGTGTAGTTAATAGTACAGTTGAATCCTGCTATTTCGAACACTTGGGAAACGAAAAAAAAAAAAAAAGTTCGAAATAGTGGGAGTTCAAAAAAGCTGATAGCAAATTGACTGAAGGCAGGCCTTCTGATATTATGCGATGGTGCAATTTCTCACAATTGACCTCAAATCGCATATCCGATGGCACAATTCATGAAAAATGGCACAATTCATGAAAAAATAGCACAAATTTAACAAAATAAACGTTTACTTGACACTTTATCAGGAAAAATCCCATATCTACACGTCATTTCAAGTTGATTTTCCTTTGAAAAAGCCTCGAAAACCTTCTACAATCTTTGATTTTGTAAACAATCGAAGTGAATATTCTCAAAGAATAGTCTATTGGTGTAACGCAAACAATCCCTTTCTTTGGTTTGGTCAATCAGAATTTTTGGCATATCAGCAGCATGTTACCTTGACTAGAAGGCAGGAACACATCACACCAATACTAAGGAGCTTACATTGGTTGCCAGTTCATTTTAGGATTATTTTCAAAATATTGTTGTT